TTGACCAATCAAAACTCCGCTCTCACCTCCCGCCCTTTTTAAACCCCGCCCCCTTTAGCATTGACCAATCAAACCTCCGCCTCACAGCCCCATCTCTAGGAAGCCCCGCCCCCTCATAGCGTTGTCCAATCAGAACGCGCCGTGGCCAAGCCCCGCCTCCCCGCTGATGGCGCATGCCCCGTGAGGGCGCCAAGATGGCGGCGGCGGCGGCGGCGGGAGGAGCCGGGGGCGGCCCCGGGATCGGGACCGGGAACGGGACCGGGAACGGGGCCGGGAACAGCGCCGGGAGCAACGGCGGCATGGAGGTGGATGGGGCAGGTAAGGGCCGGGCCGCCGGGAGCGGCGGGGGGTTACCGGGAGCGGCACCGGGAGCGGCACCGGGAGCGGCGAGACCGTGAGGGGGAAAATTCGGGGGCAGCCTGGAAATGGCCGGGAATGGCCCGAAATTAACGGGAATTAACCCAAACCCCCGGGAATTAACCCCAAAATCCCCGGAATGGCCCCAGGTATAACGGGGACCGGGGACGGCACCGGGAGCGGCGAGACCGTGAGGGAGAAAATTCAGGGGGAGCCTGGAAATGACCGGGAATGGCCCCAAAAGGACCGGGAATGGCCCGAAATTAACGGGAAATAACCCCAAACCCCGGGAATTAACCCCAGAATCCCGGGAATGGCCCCAGGTATAACGGGGACCGGGGACGGCACCGGGAGCGGCGAGACCGTGAGGGGATAAAACACAGGGAAAGTCCCGAAACCCCCGCGAATGGCCCCAAAATCCCTGGGAACGCCCCCAAAATTCTGGGAATTAACCCCAAAATCCCAGGAATTAACCCCAAAATCCCGGGAATACCAGAACTGGCACCGGGATGGGCGAGATCGTGAGGGGAAGAATTCAGGAAAGTCCCAAAATCACCGGGAATGGCCCCAAAAGTCCTAGGAATGGCCCCAGAGCGCTGGGGATTCCCTCCAAAGCCCAGAATTCCCGAATTTCCCCCAGAATTCCCGAATTTCCTGCAGGAACCCGGAGGAGTGATGGCCGGAGGAGTGACCGGCAGCGTGGCCATGGCCCCAGAATTCCCAAATTCTCCCCAAAATTCCCAATGTTTCCCCCAAAAATTCCTGAATATCCCCCCAAATTCCACCAAAAGTCCCAAATTTCCCCCCAAAATTCCCAGATTCCCCCCAAAATTCCCAAATTTCCACAGGAACCCCGCAGGTGATGGCCGGAGGAGTGACCGGCAGCGTGGCCGTGGCCCCAAAATTCCAAAATTTTCCCCAAAATTCCCGAATTTCCGCAGGCACGCCGCAGGTGATGGCCGGAGGAGTGACCGGCAGCGTGGCCGTGGCCCTGGAATTCCCAAAATTCCCCCAAAATTCCCGAATTCCCCCAAAATTCCCGAATTTCCGCAGGAACCCCGCAGGTGATGGCCAGAGGAGTGACCGGCAGCGTGGCCGTGGCCCCAAAATTCCCAAATTCTCCCCAAAATTCCCGAATTTCCGCAGGAATCCCGCAGGTGATGGCCGGAGGAGTGACCGGCAGCGTGGCCGTGGCCCCAAAATTCCCAAATTCTCCCCAAAATTCCCGAATTTCCTCAGGAACCCCGCAGGTGATGGCCGGAGGAGTGACCGGCAGCGTGGCCGTGGCCCCGGAATTCCCAAAATTCCCCCAAAATTCCCGAATTTCCGCAGGCACGCCCCAGGTGATGGCCGGAGGAGTGACCAGCAGCGTGGCCGTGGCCCCAAAATTCCCAAATTCTCCCCAAAATTCCCGAATTTCCGCAGGAACCCCGCAGGTGATGGCCGGAGGAGTGACCGGCAGCGTGGCCGTGGCCC